TTTTATAAGTATTTTTTCATCTATATCAATTTGAAACTCAAAAGAAACCACATTACTACTTACTTGCAATTTTTGATTGTTATATTGCTATCTTTTCATTTGTTTTATGCCCATTCACATTCTTTTTTTTATTTTTTTAAAGATTTATTTATTTATTTATTTATTTATACAAGCACTGGGTACAGTCAGAAGCGCGGGAGGGTAAGAGAATTCACCAGAGCCAGAGCGGGGAGCAGAGCAGGCAGAAGGACTGAAGAACAGTGCTGAGGGGAGCAGCGGGCGGCAGGAGAGGTCTGTGGGAGCCTCCTCCGGTGGCTGGGGAGCAGCCGGGGATCGAACCAGCGCTGCAGAGGCTGTGGGCAGCTTGGCAACCCAGCGCTCAACCACTGCGCCAGCGGGGAGGCCCTCCCATTCACATTCTTTACCAGTTATTTCCGTATGTTTATATGTGGGAATGTGTGTTTGTTTTTATAGAATTATAAAATTATAATTTTATAGAATTTATAAAACTTTAAAAATAGAATTTATAAAAAAATTTATTGAATTATAAAAACTATCAAACACATTAGCACTTTGCTGTATATAATATAAACTATTCTTCAGTTTGTACTTTAATTTTGTTTGTAGTATTTTGTATAGCAAAAATTACTTTATACTTTTCCTTTTGGAAATTAGAAAGGTTAGACTTATCCCAAGATTGTCTTGCTCTAATTTTAGTCTAGTATTTTCAATTCTTACAGTATATCTTGGGTTTGTCTGAATTATTTTTGGTATAAATAGGAAGCGATTAAGTTTTTTTTTTTAATTTTAATTTTATTTGTATATTCCCCATACAATTGCAACCCCCTTATTTTGAACCCAATCTCTCCTTTCCCTGCCCCCCACCCCCCATAGAGTGTCTCTGGTTCATAGTTGTTTGTTGATTTTGATTTTTACTTTCTTATAGTTATTCTTTTTCCTGGTCTCTTATTTAAGTTTTCTAGATTCCTGCTATGAGTGAGACCATCCGGTATTTTTCTTTTTCTTTCTGGCTTATTTCGCTGGGCATGATCCCTTCCAGCTCCATCCATGTTGCTGCAAATTGCATGTATTTATCTTTTTTGAATGCTGAGTAATATTCCATGGTGTATATGTACCACATCTTCTTGATCCAGTCATCTATTTTTGGGCATTTGGGTTGTTCCCAAAGCTTAGCTCTCCCTGATTAAGTTTTATTTATGGCCTGATGACCAGCTAGCCCCAGTACTTTTTAATTCAGTCATCCATCTTTCCCTACTGAATTAAGATACGGGCCTTAGTATATATTAAACTATTACATGTACTGGGATCTATTTCCTGTCTCTTCAGCCTAATCCATTACTCTGTCTCTTCTATTACCAGAATCATACTGTTCTTTCTGTTTTAAAATAAGATAAGATAAATTCTTTAATAACTTTTTAAAGTAGTTTTCTCCACTGCTTTCAGTTTTATTTTGCTTAGAAACAGACATCTTATTATAATGTTGGCTCCAGAGTTTGAAAACTGATACTTATATTGTTTCCCAAATTATTAGCAGTTTGGAGATAAACACTGTTTATTGCTTTAAGATTATGATGTGTTGGGGTCACTGGAAAGGGTTTCTATTCTATCTAGAGAGGATGATTTTGGAAGATGTTCCTGCAAAGTAAGCAGGGTTCATGTAGGCCCTGTTGAACCATGTTTAAGGAGTCTGAACTTCACTCCTAGATCTAAAGAGAGTTAGTGAAAATTAAAAGCAGGGTTTTTTTTTATTCTATTTGTGTTTCAGAAGTCACTTTTACTATAGTGGAGGTAAACTGAAGAGGGGGAAAAACTGGAGTATGGTAGGGAGACTTTTCTAATAAGGTTAGTGACATAAGACCATGATCACAGAGAAAACTGAAAATACTGGAGAAATATTTAAAACAGGATGTAGGGGAGATGGCAAAGAAAATAGAGATTTTAGGGATGACAAAATGTTACCAAGTACATATTATTATTCATGAATATTGTTAAATTAAGTAGTTACATATTTGCATCCATATTAATTAAATAATACTCATTACTTGCTTTTTGTTGAAGGTCTGTTTTTCTATCTTTGTGTGTTTGAAGGCTTTATTTTTATAAGAAAACATATTGTATACTGTTCTCTCCTTATCTTTATATAATAGTTGTATTTTTAGTAGCATCGACTTCAAATGTTTTAAAGTACTTTTATTAGTTAAAGCATCATGATCATTTATTATTCATGCTGTGTATATATACTTAGTGCTAGATAAAGGTCAAAATGGTAATAATTACTACAGTTGTGGAACTCATATAACTTTTTTAATTTTAATTTTTAATTTTTAAATTTTATATTTTTTTACATCATTTTTCATTTTTGCACAATGTAAGCATTTTCATCTTGGTTATATTCCTCATACAATTCCCTCCCCCCCTTATTTTGGTCCTAATCCCTCCTTCCTCTCCCCCCTTCTCCCTGTAGTGTGTCTCTGGTTTATAGTTGCTTGTTGATTTTGATTTTTACTTTATTACAAGACAGAAAGAAAAAGTAAAATACCTGATGGTCTCACTCATAGCAGGAATTTAGAAAACCTAAATAAGGGACCAGGAAAAAGACTAATTATTATAAAAATTTTGACTTTTTTCTTACACCACTACCATGGTCTGTAGCCCTCAGGTTTAGAACTGGTTGAGACAGTTCTTTATCAATTTGTTTTGGAGAATTTAGATGTGCTTCATTGCTTCTTCTATTGGAAAAAGCAGTTGCAGAACACAGCTTTATCTCCTATCTTGAAAGACACATGCTACTAAGTTGGGGAAATATCATTAACAGATATATTTAACATAAACAAGTATTTGTTACATGTAACAAGTCAAACATTTAAAACAGTTTAGATGTGAGGAATTTTAATGACCCTATTTTTTAAATCTTATTTCTGTATCATACAAATAATTTTACAGGTATATCACCAGATTTTTTTTGTTTCTTCATTAATTTGTGCTCTATATTGTATAATGTGAAGTATTTTGTAAAAACACTTCTTAGTGATAAAAGTATAAATTATTTAGTACTTGTTCTACAATTCATTGAGAGTCAGCAGTCAGGAACTTGTGTTTGTCTTTCCCACTGCTCAAAAACTCAGAAGAATGCTTTGTGCAGTTACATTGTCACTAGTTTTCACCCTGTAGAGTATTTGGCCAGTAACATGTTGCTGTGACAGAGTAAAAAGCCACTCATTAAAATTTAATTGTTTTTGCATTAAAGGCTCTTTTTCTGTGAAAGTTTTATTACTTTCATATTTCTTAAAATATTTAAAAATATTCTTTATATATTTTTTAAAAGAGTAACTTTCAACATACCATGAAAGAATATGAATTTCTCTTTATATCACTGAATGCATTCTTATATTCAGTTTTGTCACAGCTGCTGTGGAAGTAAAAAGAAATACAATTAATTCAATAAATGTTAAAGAAATATCCATATATGTTAGGCTGGCACAATGAAGATAAAAAGAGTTTACTAAGATGTAAGAGCCACAGTTATGGAGCTGCAAGCTGGTTGGAGAAACATACACACGTTAAGCACTGGAATAGTGTGCTATATTGAATGTTAAATTTTATTGTTCATTTATTGTATAGTGACCTATTAAATGCATACAATAGTTTAATAATTTTTTAACTCAGTACTCTGCATTATATGTTGATTGGCATATGAAGATCCATTCTTTTTCATTTCTTATTTATTTAAGGAATCTGTTAACAAAGAAAATGTATATTTTCTGTCTATGGGATTCTAGAGAGTATGTTAATGAATGGTATATAGAATTATTAAGTTTATATTATATTCTTAGGCGTCAATGTATCTATAATTGATAAAAATAAATGCTATGTAGAGAATATTATGTTTTCATCCAATTCACAATATTTCGTTTTCAACTTGGGACTTTTATAAATTTATAAATTTATATTTTCTTTTACACATTAAAGATTTAAATAAATAAAACAAGGCTCATTTTGTGTGTGTGTGTGTGTGTGTGTGTGTGAAAATGGCCTTGGTAGAAGGTTTTTTATGACATAGAAAATCAGTTTGATCACTTTACAGTCACTGTTGGTCTTTAGTGTCAAATCATACATATTCTTGGAATTATAAAACATGTTTCTATTGAATAAGACTGACCAAATATGCCGTTTGTGCTGCTGATGTAAAGACAGGACTTAAATTAACTCCAACAACAGAGACCCTTGAAATGTAGAGTGGTATACTATTGAATTTAAATAATCTTTCAATGCTTGTCATTTTCTACGAGTAGTATCATAAGACAAGTAATGACAGATTAAGACCTGCCCAGCAGAGAGAAAACTAAATTACATGACTTTTATTAAGGCATAAATAAACCTATTAACCATTATCTGGAATACCAATTAGTAGAAAGAACACTGACAATTTTATTTATCAACATTAAACACAATTATTAATTACAGACCTGATGAATCTAGCAGTAAGCAGGCCATGTTGGATATGCTGGAACCTTAAGTCCATTATATGAGAGGGATGATTACTGAAATCCTGTGGGGAAATAAGTAATTGTAGTTGTAAAATTTTAATTGCCTTGGAATAGGCAAATTATATTTTCTTGTCGAGAATATAAATAGTATGACATTAAGGTAACAAGTTTCAGTAGTTGTAAATAGAAAATGAATTTATGCTAGGTTGTAAAACAAAGAAAAGAGTGATGAATTCTTAGTGTCACCGTGTTCAGTGTAAATGACATTGTAAATACATGCAGATTTTCTCTAGGTATATTGCTTTATTAAGTGAGTTATTTTCTGCATTTTTATTGAGTGGATAGGTGGGAGGGGACTGTTTGAATGAATTGTTACAGGTGAATGGGAATTATATAAATGGAAAGTATTTCCCTTGTGTTGTGATTGACAGTGATGTGATATGAACAAGAAAAAATTTGTGTTTTTTGTGTGTTTTTTCTTTTTCTTTGAAGATCCAAATTCCAGAATTTGTGGACATTTACTCATAGGCGCTGCCAAGAGTTCTTTTGCAAAACTCATGGATAAAATTAGTCTGGCAATGGAGAGTATGCCTTTGCAGAGCAGCAGAAGTATTTCATATGTAGAAAAAGATTCACTGGTTCAGAGGCTGGCCCGTGGACTTCATAAAGTAAACACGTTGGCCCTAAAGTATGGTTTGTATGGCCATGTGCCCATTTTGGTATGTATGCAGTTTCAGTAAATGGTGACTTTAGGACTTGTAAATTTAATTCTGAATCAGACTTATTCATAGTTTAATTAGTTTTTTAGTATCCAGATATCATGTAATCTCCTAATGAACTAAGTAAAAGTGCTCCAAATAAGTGGCAAAAATAGCAAAATATAAAAGTTATGGCATGAATTCTGAATTGAATTTTCTTTAAGTATATGGCAACACAATTGTATGAGACATAAACAATGTCAATTCTATTTCTAGCCATCGAGGTATTTTTTTTTAATGTTGTTTATTTCATATAAGCCAAATTAGTGGTCACATAAAAAAATAAAATTTTTACCTCTAAGTTTCAGTAATAGCTGATATTACTTGGCTATACTGTTGGATATGTTCTCTGTATGACCTAAGTGAGGTTGGGAAAGGGGTCCTAGATGTTAATGTCTTAGTAAATGTGTAGTTACTACTTATAAAACTATACTCTTTTAACTCTTCTAACTCGTTTAACAGAAAAGTACAGCATCCTTACAGAAGCAAATATTTGGATTTACACAAAGACTGCATGCAGCAGAAGTAGAGCGTCGCTCACTGCGCATAGAAGTCACAGAATTTAAAAGAAATGTGAATGAAATGAAAAAGGAGCTTGACAAAGCCCAGGGTCTCCAGATGCAATTAAATGAATTTAAGCAGTCTGTAAGTATGATTTAAAATCCTATGGCTTTGGTGACCTCTCCTCTGATGATGTGTATATGTGTCTGTGTGTGGTGTATATAATATTTATATGCACACACATGTATATTATGTTTGTTCTTTCAGATAATTCAAAGTCCAATTAATAGGATTTTTTTTTTCTTCAGAAAACTTACCTCCTAAATTACCCTAACGGTACTCTATTACTTACTTTAATGTTGCTAAGAAACTAGATCTAAATGTTCTCCAAACAAAAAAGAAATTGTTCTGTGACATGACAGAGACATTTACTAATCCTGTGATTGTGTGAAATATATTAATGTGTTAAATAAACACCTACACCTTAAACTCATACAAGTTATATGTCAATTTTAAAAAATTATACCAAATCCTAAAAGAAATAATGGTTCTGTGTCAGCAGAACTCATAACCTTATTAAAATGTATATGTGACTGAAAGTACAGAAAAAAATTAAGTTATAGTTAAGCTAGATTAACTGCTAAAGCAGATATAATTCCAGGTACATGGTAAAAAATTATTTGGTGCCGCCAGTTGAGGAACTTGATACTTGGAGTGGGGAGTGGTGGAATTTCTTCTTTTTCTACTAAATATCTTGAGTAAATTACATTATTTAGTATGAAATAAAATTATTTTCCCAAAGAAATGTTTAATTTGCCTAATATGTATTACATAAGAAAGCAGAAGATAATTAAGATAAGAAAAACTATATTCCAAATAACATTTAGTCAGGATCGAAATGTGTAGATATATGTAGCACAATAAAATGGAGAGATCCAGATATTCTATTTGCAACTGGGTTTGTTATTAACATTGTTATTCTTAGTGTAGATTTATGAATACAGAGTTAAAAAATTACTCTGAACCTTTAAAATTATCATACAACTGGTGATAGTTAATACAAATATATGAGTATCAAATTTGTTTCTGTAGTAGCAAGCTATTTTTAGTAGTAACCCCTTCTTTAGGAAATTTGGTTTGCAAGTTTAACTAAAATTTAAATATACTTTGAAGTGATTAGTTTGGAATTTCCAGTTTTAACGTCTTTGGAAGAAGAGCAGCAGATACTTTTGTTATTACTCCTATACTGATGTAAAATGCCATTATTAATTGTAATTTCAAATAGCTATATCTTAAAAGGCAAAAATATCTTTATAAAATAGGCTAGTCAAGTTATCATGAATTACCCTTCTGACTGGAGATAAGTAATAGTTTTCTTACCACTGAATGTTTAAAGATACCAGTTTTTTCTTATTTCCTCCGAGGAGAAAAAGTTATGAACTGTTTCATTTTCCCCCTTATCAAGGTAATCTATGCTAACCATAAACAAAAATATAAAGAAGTAAAATGAAGAAAAGTCAGATCACTCTTACCATCCGTAATCAATCACTGTTAAGTGTGGATGAGTTTTGTTCCTGACATTTTTCTTTGTAAATAGGTCTATATGTATGCTGTTATGTACAGTTGTATTTTGGAATAATTTTGTGTGTACAGTGTATAAAGAGATATATGTCTATATGTGTAATGTATTATAAGCACTTTCCTCTATTATTATTTCATCTTAGGTAATGAATTCCTTTTATGGATATATCAAAATGTATTTGATTGTTCCCCTATTCCTAGACATTTAATTTGTTTTCTTTTTTTTTTTGTTTTGTTTTGCTTGCCATTATATGTAAATCATAAAGATCTGTCCATACTTTTAAAAGCCAGTTCCTTTGGAGTGTGTCTCTGCCTCCTTTTGATTTACTTTCAGTAATATATAATCACTGAATTTGGGATCTTGAGATGATCTGCCAAAATGGAAAGAGACAGTCATTTGATACAATTTGAAACTTAGAATGTACTCAACTATATTTAGACTTAGGTAATAGTGCCTTTCCTGAAATATGAAAGATTATATATGTTACCTCCTATAATTTGTATGAAAAAATCTAGGCATTGTACAGAATGTGATTTTTTTAGTCCATGGTTAAGTATTAATAAGTCAAATTAATATATAGTCTTTGATTAGTTTGGAAATAATCAGGATACAATTTCTAGATTCTAGAGAGAAGGTTAGAGTTTGAAGGAAAGTTGTTGGAAGATGACAGAATCTTCTTTTTAAGGAACTTGGTTGAATGATTGACTTGGAGTGAAAACTAAGAATAATGTCTAGTAAATAATTAGTGTAGGTAGAAATAAAATTGAGGTAATATTGAAATAAGTAAAAAATTACATACTACATTCCTTCAATTATTATTTTGATACATAATTGTAAGTTATGAAATTACAAAGTGATGATTTTTAACATTTAATGACCATATATTGAGCATATATTGTCACTGGCTCTAAACACTTTAGGATGTTGATTTACTTATCCTTTTCATATATATGTAATAATTAAATACTATTTGTATCCTTATTTTATAAAAAAGGAATATTGGGCACAGAGCAGCTAAGTAGCTTGCCGCAAATCACACAATTAATATGTGGAAATGACCAGATTTGAACCTGCGTAGTCTGACTCCAAGATTCATACATTTAGCCACTTCCTTATAGTGGGTCTGTACTATGTTGATAAAGGGTTGTTTTATTAAAGACATACTCAATAGAAAAATTTTCCTACTGTCCTCTAAAAATTAGGGGTTTGCCTGCAACCTTGGTCTTTTATTAATTTCAGGCAAAGTATATAGCAGAAAATAAAATAGCTTCTTCATAATTGGCCTAAAATTGTAACATTAAAAAAAAAAATCCTGCCTGCCAAAAATTATTCAGTACTTTCATCATTGTGGAATACCATGTTCATCGAGGGGCAGTTCTTTAACAGCTAGTTCCCACAATCTTTTCTTAGTTTATTAGCACCTTTTAGTTGTTTTCATATACCATCTTGCTCTCATTCTCCTTTGCTGTACTTGTTGGATCCTATCTACTTGTAGAAGAGTGAACAGAATTGAGCTGGACTTTGGACAAGAGAAAAGTTAAATTAACTAGGTTTTTTAGGTAAAGGAGTTGGGGAGGCGTGGGTCTGGCAAGGCCTTTCCAAGGTGGGGGTGGGAGACATGTGACAGAGAGACATGAATGATAGACTTCTAGTCAAACATATAAAAATTCAGAAACTATTTAAAGGCTTTAATTCCCACAATCGTACTTTTTATAAAAAGTGCTCATGTATCGAGATTTAAACTGAGCATTTATGGATTTATTTAGAGCTTGAAATAAGTTTCCTGGGATTTTATTTGACTAAAAATGATAACTCTATAAGCACAGCTGCTATGCTTGAAAAAACAGAGTGGTATTTCTATCTTGACTTATGAATTTAAGAAAAACAGTATTTTTTGTCATGGAGCAGACATTTTAGAAATGTTTGTATAATAGTTCTTATGTTAGTGAATATAGTTCTGAAGATTAAATGATACAACAATGCAGTTAGCTTATAACTTGCATTTTCCCTCTTTTCTCAGAAGTTGATCACCCATGAGAAGTTTGAAAGTGCATGTGAGGAACTGAATAATGCATTGCTTCGGGAACAGCAGGCGCAAATGCTGTTGAATGAACAGGCACAACAACTACAGGAGTTGAATTACAGGCTTGAATTGCATTCTACTGAAGAAGCTGACAAAAACCAAACTCTTGGAGAAGCCGTTAAGGTAAGAAAACATCCTCTGCCTAATTGTTTATTTCCTTTATGTGTGGATCTTTGAGAGAATCATGTGTGTCTTCTGAACAGAGAATAGAGCCCAAGGTATAAATTTTTTTCTCTAACAGTTTATAATGATGGAATGAAACATGGTTCTGGGGCCTCAACTCCAAGTGTGCGTTCATATGAATTGGAAATGTTCATATGAATTTTTATTTGTAGTTGAAAACTGAGTGGAGGTAGGTCTAGTTATAATTTCTTCTTTTTTCTATTGTTTTTCCATTTTCTGTTTCTTCCTCTCTTTACTTAAAAAAATCCGATTTTATTTATTCTCTGGATGTTAATTCCATGTATCTTCTGGATTTTGAAAGGTTTTGTGTTTTGTTCTCTGATTCTTATGTAAGTGTATGTTTGAGGAGCAGGGGAAGTTTGTTTAGGAATAGTTGTTCTCCTGTCCTATATACGTGGCAAAGATATTTAGCAGGGTAAAGAGGCTATAATAAAATAGTTGTCATTTAGAAAATTTCATTAATGGATTTAGTACTATGTTGTGTTTTGGAAATGCTGGCTATAAATTAAAAATAGAATTCTAGCTTATGATTATACTTGGGAAATTTTCAGTACTGAGGTTACACACACTGGAGTGCAACAACTTACAGGAAAATTGTTATGATATAGCATAACATGATATTGAGTATTGTACCTAATATAGTAAGCAACTCATACTATTCTGTCATACAAATAGTATGCATTTATTCTAATAGCTAAATACTAATGTTACTAATAAAATAGTCAGAATTTATTGAGAGCTTCTTATTTGCCAGGCAATATACTTTATAATTATAAATACTTCATAATTAATATTTTATGGTCAATACTATCATATAATTTCACACATAATATTTCATTATAATAGAATACTATAATATAATATAAAATTATATTTTTTAGGACATTTAAAACATACTTAAATTTGTCAAAATATTTTTAAATAGTAAATATTATCAGCTAGCCAACAGAAAATTTTTGCCAGTTGCATTCTCTCCCAAAATATGTGAGCGGGCCTCCCTGGTGGCACAAGGGGTTAAGCACAGTACTATGAAGCTATCTGCAGCCTCTATAGCATGAGTTCGATCCCCCAGCAGGCCAGGGAGCTGCCCACATGGCACAGCATACCTCTCCTGCCTCGCCCGCTGCTCCCCTCAGCAGTGTATTTCAGTTAGTCTGCCTGTTCCGGTGAATCCTCTCACCCCTGCATCTCTGGCCTGTACCCCAGTATCTAAAATATATGAGAATGCAAATTTTTGCCCAGTCACACTATTACATTTAAAATATTTTTGCTAATTTAATCAATATATTACTATTACTTTAAGTTGTATTGTTTTTGGTTACTTGTCATATTAGTCATTGAAAAATGTTTGTATGCTTCATGTCCCTTAGTAGGTAATGTAATTAATCATGCTTTGAAAAAGCATGTAACTGTGTCATATTGGAGTCTTTTATTTCTGTAATAGCTTGTAGTTTATTTAGGTATAGTATCTTCCAGCAGATAAAAAGCTGTTCATATTAATTCCTTTAAAATGCCAGTTGCTTAAATATTGTTGTCAGGAGTGGAGAATTCTTTAATTACTATCTCTTAATTAGAACTAGCAGGTGGTAATGTGAAAATACTCTCTTGTGGGAGGCAACATGGTTCAGTGGAAAAGTACTGGTCTTGGAACAAGTATTCCCAAATTTAAATCCCAGTTCTGTTGCTTGAGCAAATTACTTAGCCTTTCTGAGCCTCAGTTTCCTCTTCTGCAAAAATAGAGTAATGATACTTAAGTTATTGAATTTTTATGTGAATTAATTAAGATACGACTTGACAAGCAAGTATATACTTGGTAAACATTCTTTTGTGTTTTTCATAATAGTAAAGTAAATCTATTTTTAAAATGTCCTTTGCATAACTTCTTTTTTAAAAAAAGGAGTTTTGCTTCCTGTTCTTTGTAAAAACAAAATAAGATCATGAACAGAAGAAATGGAGAACACAGAAAAAAAACAAGTTATTCATGACAATGAAACAACCACTGTTAACCTTTTGAGGTTTGCTTTTACTTATTTTGTTGTGTGTAATAGTTTTTATAAATGACACTTTGTACGTAATACTCAGAAGGACCTTCCTTTATAATATAGCTAGGTTTTGAATAAGATACTTCCTGTATTACTGCAGCATACTAGTGAATACTGGAAATCTCCAAGGACAAAAACATAACAAACAACAACATTAACAAACCCAGTGAGAGGAAATCAAAATCAGCACTGTGAACAGATCCTCGGCTTACCCTGGAGGTAATAAAAAAGCTAGTGCAGGAAGTAAGAGAATAAACTGCAGTCTCCATCAGCATGTAGAGCCTTGAATCTTAGATTCCCATGTTAAGGAATTGCCCAATAATCTGAATGGGATAACTCAGGCCAGTACTATCTAGACAGAAGCTAATGTAAATTTTTTTTCTGAAAGAAGGCATGCCTGATTTAGTTCCTTCAGCAGGAGCTAATACTCAGAACCCCCATGTAACTGGCACATTGATAGACAGATATATTAATCTTATATTCAATCGCATTGTTAAATTCTCTTGGCAGTTCTAATACTTTTGTAATTTCTAGGGTTTTTTACATAGATATCACATTATTTGTTCTATAATAACAATTTGCAAACTCCTTAGCAAATCTTAACTCTTTAATTTTTTGCCCCCTGCCTTACTGCACTGGCTGGGATATAAGCTTGAGAGGGAGTGGAGACAGGAGGCATCCCTATCTTGTTCCCAACCTTAAAGAGAATCTTTCTAACATTTCCCATTAAGAAGGAAGTTTGCTATAAATCTTAGTTGATAGTCCTTATTGGATTGAGGGAGTTATCTTCCTAGATTATGCATAATAAAATAAATCATGAATAGATTTTTAAATATTATCAAATACAGTTTTATGCTTCTATTAGATAATTATACATTTTTTTCTCTTAGCATGCTGATTATATCAGGAATTCACAAACTATGATGCAGGGTCTGTGTTTATATGACCTGTGAGTTAAAATAAAAAAGATTGGTTTTTACAAGGCAAAGTATCATAAAAAACAAAGAAAGAAACAAACAAGAATATGTGACAGAAACTGCATGTGGCACATAAAACCTAATGTATTTCCTTTCTAAAGATTCCTGACCCCTGAGTTAGATCATTCAGTATTCTAATGCTAAGCCAACTTTGCATTTTTGAAATAAACCCAACTTGGTTGTGATGATTTTTGAAAATATAGTGCTGCATTCAGTTTTTTAATTTTCTCTTAGGACTTTAAAATCTCTGTTCTTAATTGTGATTGTCTTGTAATTTATCTCTCTTATACTGTCACTGTGATTTTTTGGTATCAAGATTTTGCTAATGTGAAAGGAATTTCTTTATCACTTCAGTCACATAGAGTACAAACTATTTTTTTTTAAAGATTTATTTATTTATTTATACAAGCACTGGGTACAGTCAGAAGCATGGGAGGGTGAGAAAATTCACCGGAACCAGAGTGGGGAGCTGAACAGGCAGACTGAGGAAATACACTGCTGAGGAGAGCAGCGGGCATGGCAGGAAAGGTCTGCGCGACATGTGGGACCCTCACCCGCCGGCCAGGGATCGAACCGGTGCTGCAGAGGCTGCGGGCAGCTTTGCAGCCCAGCACTCAACCGCCGCGCCACCAGGGAGGCCCTGGAGTACAAACTAGATAAAACATAACAAGTGAATTGTGAAGCATAGAGGATAGCTTCATACAAAAATAGCAAAATGTTCAGATACTGGAAATAAAAGAATATCCAAAACCAACTGATGAGAGGACCTGTAGCCTAAATGGCACATTGGGGTGTGCAAGTCAAGCTGGAAGCTAGAGTTGATAATCACATCAGTAGGGAAATGAGGGCTGTAAGTCTGTGGACTAGAAAAGCTGGGAGTTAGGAAGGACTGCCCTTTTCTGAAATGGAACCTACAAAAATTCAAGTGAACCCACAAGCTACAAGGAATTTGATGTCTAATCTGGACAAAAAAAGTAGGAAAACAATCACTAAGAGATTGAAACCTCAGAATTCTTCCACATAAGGATGCAGAATCTTAGTTTATACTATCACATGTCCTAGGACTATTCAGCTGAGACATTAACTTCAAAATGGCCCAACTCTTATAGACCCAGTGTGACCTTGTAGAAAGAAACTTGGGAATATTCAGTAGCTCAAAGAAATTAGAAAGTACTTTTTTGAAAAGTTCAATATTACAAACCATGCAAAGAAATGAATTGTCCACTAAATAAGAAAATTTGCACCTCAGGTGGTAGGAATGCTTGCGTGTTGAAATATATTTTAAAGATACTTAAAACAAGTGTTTTTAAATGTTTCAAGAAATAAGATGTGAATAGAAATCACAAGAAATGAAAACCTGTGATCATTAAAGACTAGGGGAAGTGGTTTGAAGAATTGTTGATAATGTGTTGGCTTTGGCACCCTACTTTGAACAAGGTATTATAAGAAAGAGACAAACTCAGGAAAGAATTATTTGGCTTGTGAGTATAACTAAAAGGAAAGAGAGAGAGAGAATCTAGAAATTTGGGGAGTATAAGGGTCTATTATGACTCAATCCCCATGACAAAGAATAAATCAGGTTTATGACTTTCTTATTCTAACTTGTTATCTCAGGTTACCTTAAGGTAACCATCATTAAGTTCAAGTACACACACTGTACCTGCATGCATACATGGGAAGCCATAGTGAGGGTAATCTCCAACAAAGAATCTTCTTGTATTGTCAGTGGAAGCAAACATGTTGTCTACCAACTTTTTGAGGCAGTTATGTTGCCAAGGAAACCATAAGTCTGGATTAACATAGCCACATATTCTTTAAACTTGAAACAAGCTTTAAATGATCTATCCATTTATCATGTTAATTGATACACAGAATTTTATACAGAAAATAAGGCATTGTTCAATTATTTATCTGCTGGTGT